ATTAAACTTGCATGCTAGTATAATTGGAAACAAAAGAAAATTGATGATGGAAAAGATGCAGGTGCATATTTTTTGGCTAATGACTTGTTATTTTGTGATTTGTTTCTAATGAACTATAGTTTTAATCCTTAGAATGACTATGGAGCTCAAAATATCAAATGCAGAACCAAAAGTGGAAGGATAATCCCAAATTATCATGAACTTTCTGGCTTATCTGAAAGGAAAAATGTAGGCTCATTTTGCCTCTTTTACTAATTGACTTTGTATTTCTTGTAGAATTTGAATATTGAGATCAATAATTTTTTTTCAGGAAAGTTCCAATAATAATAAACAACCAAACATTAAAGAAAAAACATCCACAATCCGTCCAACCAAAAAGGTGAGACCAAGTGGTTCTTTATTAATAATTTCTTCAAGGCAACTAATAACTTATTGACGTTTTGTCATGATCTAGATGAAATCAAGCGACCAAACTGAATCTGAAAATGATCCAATCCTTGATGTGGAGTGTGAAGATATTGGAGCCTTTTTTAATGACGATTACACTGATGACCAATCCATTGATGATGAATCTACTGATGACGAATATACTGATGATAAAGTTAAATATGTCATCTGTTGAGGAAAGTTTAAAAAAATTTAAAGAAGCCTATTTATTAATGGAACCTAATCATATGTGGACACTGAAAACTGGCCAAAAAGTTGAAAAAGTTATTTACGATTTTGCTAAAAACCTGAATAGGGAATCATACCTTCATTATTTCATAATAAATGATGCAGGTGTTGATACAAAAAATTTATTTACACCAGATGAATGGAAAGAAATCAAAAATCTTGAATCAGTAGAAAGACCAAAACTTGACCCTCGTCACAAAGAGTTATTAATAAAATATACTGTAAATGATATTAAAAAATTGTGATCACTTCTCTTTGAGCCACTTATATCTGACGGTGAAGAATACAATCGAAGCATTCATTTCTGTCTTGATTCTATTAACAATGGGTGGAATTTTGCGTTTATGGGAAATGGATGAAGATCCATTTGATTCTTTAAAGCTAGAAGGGTGGTTCGAAATGAATGTCTGGAACCGAATTATAGATCCTATATTTGATGATTTAAATATTGACTTAATTCGCGGTGAAGGCAGTGTTGTGACCCGAAACTCTGAGTTTAGGGAAAACCAGAAACAGAAACTAACAGAAACCAGTTTAGGTTAGTAGTTTATGTTTATGTTTAGTTTTAGTTTTAGCTTTCTGCTTAGTGTAAGTTCATTTTCCGAAACATTTCGGGAAGCCAAAAGAGTTTCTGGTCACAACATTGGGTGAAGGGATGAGCCTTGCTTCTAGTGAAAGGAAGAATATTTATAGAAAAATTAATAATCGTAAAAAATTTGGTAGAAAAGGAGACGGCATATTTAGGTTGTTGTGTAGAAATCGTTTAGAATTTGGTGCAATTGAAGCCTGCAGAAAATGGGAAGAGATAAATGGTACGAAATATATGACTGATTCACTTAAAATATCAAAGATGTTAAAGGATATGCTTGACAAATTGATTACTGAATGCAAAATGAAAGAAGATCTAGTAAAAAAATCGAAAGTAATAGGAATACTTCATGGTGCAAATAGATTACAAGTTTTAACTGTAGATAACCCTTTCGGATCTATCACTCGGGTTAATCGTAATAACATTCAAGAAGTTTCTGGCCGGTTGACAAATTCAAAACCTCTTGCACTGGTGTTGAAAGAGATCTTATATGCACGATCTGTTATTATTGCTACAATGGATGCCATTGATAAGAAGAATGATTTAAATTTAAAAACTTTTCTTGACGATGATAATGATGATAGATATCACACACCACCTATCAATACTGTAACAAATACATTTACAACACCAGATAAATCATGCATAAAAGATATGATTAAAAATAGTATTACACTACAACTTGACAGTTATTACAAATAAAAAAATATTTTCAGAATAATAAATAATAACTTGGAGGTCAGATAACCGCGAGCTTGCATAGGGGGGTAAACTAGTACTTGATCAGAGTACCAGAAGCAATCAAACCCAAAGCCCTTGTTTACACAAAATGACTGCACCCATTCTTTGGGCTTGCGATTACTGATTATTATTATCATTATTACTGCTACCAAGTATAATATTACTATTACTACTGTTGGTTTCCAAAACTAGAGAGTTTCGCAACCATGCAAAAGTCAAAAGGTTTTGCCATAAGTTGAAACTAGTTTTGATTTTTGACTATTGACTTTTGATTTAGTTTTGACATATAACTTTTAATTTTAGTTTTGACTTTCATCTCTTCAAAATAGTTTGACGACCAACACTAACTGCTACTAATAATAATAAAATCGTCTTTCTTTTCATTTTCATTTTCAACCTAAGGCCTCAATTTTATCTAATAAAGTTTTTTAATGGAGTTTTTCAATGTCTATAGAAACTCGCTAGTGTTGCCAGACTAAGTCCAATTTCTTCAGATAAGAGATTATACATTTTTGTGAAAAATTGTTTCTCTTTTTTTTTCTCCTTTCATTAAATAAGCAGTAAATTCAGTATAAAGAGTTTCAGCTTCTACAGAGTATTCAGTTTGATTTGTTTGTGCAATTTCAGCTAACATCTATAATGTAAATATTGCATTTTTTTTTAACCAAAACAAAATTGTATTTAATGGTGATTATTAGAAGGATTTTGTAAAAGTTTTCTTTATTAAATCACTTTAGTATGTTTTCAGAAGTTTAATTCACTTCTCATGATTATTTCTCACTTGGAGATTATTCCAATGTAGTTTGCTAGAGAAAATAATTAATTTATTGATCTTTTGGACATAATTATTAATGTTAATAAGAATTTAATGTTCTCCAACATCATCTAATGTCCATAATTAATGATTAACATAAATAAATGCGTAACTCTCTATTGTGAACATAAACCATTAATTTAATTAACATGTCTTGTAATATTCGATTTATGATGAAATGAAAATAATAAAAATAAAAACAAATGAATATAGTTCTTCTATATATCACTTAAGGTACTGTTAAATTATAATTACAATGCAATTGTGATAATGACTAAATTTTGATCCCTGAAATTCTTGGTAATACCAATGTTCACTTTGTCTGGTTTTGTTGCAGTATGCCCCCAAATGTTAGCGGGCCAATTTTTAAAACAATTTTAAAGTAAGTTTATTATAAATTGTGTATTTTTTAATTAAACACATAATTTTAATATTAATTTATTTATGTGATTTTTAAAAGGTATTTATATACTTGTAATATTGGTTTAAGTAATCATGCTGGAATCAATATATTGGAATTGTTAAATGTAGCTGAAGAGTTTCATCTAAAGTCATTTTACGAATATATAAAAGATCACTTTATTAAAAATATTGATGAATACATAGGAAAAAATCCAATTAAAATATTACAATTAATATATAGTAATGAGAAGCTTGGTGAATTGAAAAATAAATGTTTAGAAAAAGTTAGCAATAGAGGCGATGAATTGTTTGAGTCGGGCATATTTAATGCATTGGAAAAACAAATCATATTGGCAGTTCTTGAAAGAGATGATCTATGTGTCAACGAAATAGTTGTATGGAGAAAAATTCTTGAGTGGGGATTAACAAGGCATCCAGAAATTATTGACGACAATGTCAAAAATTGGTCATCACAAAATTTTGTTGATTTAGAAAAAACAATTAGAGAATTTCTTCCTTTAATTAGATTCCAGGACATCACTAATAAAGATTTTAGTTATGAAATTTTCCCATATCAAAAGCTTTTTCCTGAAGCTTTCTGGAATAATATCTTACTTTATTATATATTTCCTGGAGATCAATCAAATTTATGTTTACTACCATCAAGAAATCAAATATTTAAATTATTTGCAAGTTGGATTGATGTTAAATATAAATTTAAACCTTTATATCGAAGTAGTAATGATGGTTTAAATGCAGATATATTTCATCAAAAATGTGATAATATCAGCAATACTCTTGTGGTAGCTACAATAAATGATTCTGATCAAATTGTTGGAGGTTATAATCCATTTGATTGGAGTGGAGATGATTATAAAAGTACAAGGGAAAGCTTTATTTTTAACATTAGCAATAGAAATGACATTAGCACCGCAAAATATAGTAATCCTAATACTAATTCAAATAGCTATTCTAATAATAATGCAATTTATTGTAATCCTTATTATTTGCCTACTTTTGGCTGTGGTTACGATATTCATTTTAATCCTAATACTAATCCAAATAGCTATTCTAATAATAATGCAATTTATTTTACTCCTTATGATATTCACTTTAATATCAATGGTGATATTTGTAGTTCGCCACGTTCTTATAATAGCATCAATGTAGTAAATGGCAGTAAATTTGATGTACTACAAGTTTTCCAAATAATTATAACAATTTATTGCTTATTATTATTATTATTAAAACATATAAAAGAAGAAAAAGTTGCCATGTTATGGTGCCTTACTAATTGCCGTAATTTCTCCTTTTTTTTTTATGTTTCCCTAATCTAACGACTTTACCCAATTTTGAAAGAGGATTCGTTTCATTCATTCATATTCAGTTCAGTTACAGTATGAAACAAAACGAATCTATACGTCCTGTTTCTCAACTTTGGTAAACTGAATTTTTGGGGAAGGATGAGATCAAAATCAAATGGTAAAACTTGTGATGAGTCGTTTTTTCTTCTTTGCTGTGCTGGCTTGAAATGATTTGCAAAATGATTTTGAAATTTGTTAATTAATAAAATTGAAATTTGAACAGAAATATTTTCGTTTTCCAAAAAAATGATAAATGGTTGT